GGACACAGGGAATGGCTTCCCAGTGCCAGAGGGCAGGGTTAGATGGGATATTGGGAAGGAATTCCTGGCTGGGAGGGTGAGGAGAGGCTGGGATGGAATTCCCAGAGAAGCTGTGGCTGCCCCATCCTGGAAGTGTCCAAGGCCAGGTTGGAGAAGGGAAGGTTCCAAAGATTCCTTAAACCCCTTCTGGTGCCTGAAGGGGCTCCAGGAGAGCTGGAGAGGAACTTGGGATGAGGGATGGAGGGACAGGACACAGGGAATGGCTTCAAAGTGAAAGAGGGAAATTTAAATGGGATATTGGGAAGGAATTCTTGGCTGTGAGGGTGGGGATGGAATTCCCAGAGAAGCTGTGGCTGCCCCATCCCTGGAAGTGTCCAAGGCCAGGCTGGAGAAGGGAAGCTCCAGGGGCACTTTCTGGGAAAGGTGGGGGGGGGGCAATAAATGGAATTTAACAGGGATTCTTTTCCTTCCAGGGAGTCGAAACTGTTAAGAAGGAAATCGATGAAAGTGTTTTGGGGCAAACTGGGCCCTACAAACGTCCGGAGCGGCTCCGGAAACGAACGGAATATTCCGGAGAGAGGATCAAAGAGGAGAGGATATTTGAGGCTAATGAGTAGGTATTGGGCTCATCTGGGGTGGATATTTCTGTGTCTAATTGAACAAAACCCTTCCAAACTGAACTACAGGGCAGGGATTAAAACCCAGGAGCTGGATGAGGCTTTGGGGGCTGAACAGGGAGCTCCTGGAGCACATTCCCAGCGGGAGCTGATGATCCTGAGTCTTCCCAGAGTGAAAGTGGGCACTTGAAACTTATAAATTTAGTGGTCAAAGATCAAATTTTGACTTGGGCACGTGTTTTGTTGTCAGTTTTAACATCTCCAGGTGGATTTAGGCTTGGAATTAGGACTGAGCCTGAGCTCCTTTGCTTTCCCTGCTGCCTCAACCCTCTCAGTCAATTATTATTTATGTGGTGTGTTATTTCCCTGCTGTACCAATTAGGGGGTGTCTGATTAATTAATGGGGTACTAATTTCCTTAGAATTATAATTCTAAGTAATTCTAATTATAATTAATTTATGGGGTTATCATTTATCTGGTGTATAATTTATGGGCTTATCACTGATGTGTCTCCTCACTTCTGTTCTGCATCAGCCTCAGGGCTGCAGGGATGTTCCTCCTCTTTGTTCTCCCACTGCTGTAAGTTCATTTTCTCCCCTGTCTCCATGTTTTATCCCTGTTTCCTGCCCTTTCCAGGGAGGCCATGGGAATGGTGCTGCACAAAGACTCCAAGTGGTACCAGCAGTGGAAAGATTTCAAGGACAACAACGTGGTTTTCAACAGTGAGTGTTCGAGAGCTCGGAGGCGAAGCAGGAGCTTCCTTCTTTTTCCCAGCCCTGATTCCTGCTGGTGTGGGTCTCATTCCATCTGTGCCAATCCCCAAATTCCCAGCCTTCCTGTGGAAGGGGTTGGAGCTGGTGCTGGGAGTCCATCTGTGTTCCAGCCCCTCCTGCTGGATCAGTCCCTGGAGGCACCAAAACCTGTTTTACAAAAGAACTCTTTGAGCTCTTCTTTGTCCCGTTTTTCCCTCTGGGAAGAGGCTGGAAGGGCACGTCCAGCAACAGGGAGAGGGCAGGAGAGGGCACCAGGTCTGCTCCTCCTGGCCTGGAGCTGAGGAAAATCCTTATAAATCAACAGGGTGGAGAGAGGCTGGGATGGAATTCCCAGAGAAGCTGTGGCTGCCCCAGCCCTGGAAGTGTCCAAGGCTGGGTTGGAGAAGGGAAGGCTCCAGGGAGACCTGAGAGCCCCTTCCAGGGCCTAAAGGGGCTCCAGGAGAGCTGGAGAGGGGACTGGGACAAGGGATGGAGGGACAGGACACAGGGAATGGCTTCCCAGTGCCAGAGGGCAGGGATAGATGGGATATTGGGAAGGAATTCCTGGCTGGGAGGGTGGGGAGGGGCTGAGATGGGATTCCCAGAGAAGCTGTGGCTGCCCCATCCCTGGAAGTGTCCAAGGCCGGGTTGGAACACCCTGGGATAGTGGGAGGTGTCCCAGCCCATGGCAGGGTTTGGAATGAGATGATCTTTAAGGTCTTTCCAAGCCAAACCACTCTGGGATTCCCTGATCCTAAAATCTGGTTTTTGTTGGCCCCTGCCCAGATCTCTGGAATATCTGAGACTTTGCCTCCTTCCCGTTTTTATTGCAAAACCTTACAAATTGTGAATATCTTTGGGTAGTTTATTTAGGGATTTCGTGTTTCTGAGAGGCAGAAAAAGCCCTAAAACCAGAACCCTTCAACAAATCAAACCCATCCCTGGCAGTGCCAGGGGGGGAAAGATTTGTTCAGGAACCAAATGATCGTGTGAAAGTACAACATAATTAACTTCACATCCTCTTTCTTCCCAGCTTTTGAAGCAGAGCTCCTTGGGAAGTGTCCAGGAGTGGGTTTTACATCCCACTTTTTAGGTTTTCCAAGGAGAGGTGCTCCTCAAACTCCCCCCCCTCCAACCCTGAGCCATCTGCCCGAGCTTGGGGGTGTTTTTTTTAGACTTCAGGCATTTTTCCAAGGCTGGTTTTGAGTCCAGGCTGAGCTGCAGCTGCCCCAGGCTCTGCCTTCAGGTACCACTCTGAGAACACTCCGTGTTCCTGGCAGGAGAATCCTCCAGGGAATAATTCCCATTTTTAACCAAAGAACTTCCCTGCAGGGCCTGTTCTCCCTTCTGTGGGTCTGATCCCTCTGATGGTGCCCAGAGCCCTGATTTGCTGCAGCAATGCCCTGTTTGCTTCAATATCTGGGTTTTTTTAGGTCCCTCCCTGCCCCTTTCTACCCTTGGGATTTTTCCTCTGCAGAGTTTTCCCTTCTGGAGCCAGGACACACTTGGCTTCCTCCCTCAGCGAGGCTGAGGAGCACTTGGAGCTGCTTAAAAACTGCACCCTCACTGATGTGGGGCTGTTTTATTAAAAATTTGGCCAGGTTTAAGGTCTGTTCTATCATTTTCCTCCCCTGATGGAACTTTCTGGGGTGATTTTCACATCTCCTGCCCCTTGTAGGGCACTGAATCGAGGGGTGAGACTGTTCCTTGTGTAAGTACTTAGAGCTGCTTAAAACCTTTGTCCTCACTGATGTGGGGCTGTTTTATTAAAAATTTGGCCAGGTTTAAGATCTATTCTATGATTTTCCACCCCTGGTGATACTTTCTGGGGTGATTTTCACATCTCCTGCCCCTTGTAGGGCACTGAATCGAGGGGTGAGACTGTTCCTGGTGTTATCAGACTGTTCCTGGTGTAATCAGATTATTCTTGGTGTAATCAGATTACTCCTGATTTAATCAGACTGTTCCTGGTGTCATCAGACTATTCTTGATTTAATCAGACTGTTCCTGATTTAATCAGACTGTTCCTGGTGTAGGGCAGTTTTCTGGTGTGTTTTCTGCCTGCAAATCTTCCAGAAGCTCCCAAAGTTTGTGGCAGCTGAAGCAGGAGAACCAATTCTTGGGAGC